CCCCCCCCGTCAGGCCAGTCCTCTCTGCCCATCGGCCTTACCTTCATTCCTGCTGTTCCGCCTGCTGCCACCACAGGGTCCCAGCACACAGGCAAGGGGGAGGGGAGAAGAGATGGGTAAGCAGGAGGAAGAGCCTCTTTACAGAAGCCAGGAGCCCCCTGGGGAAGGGCTCCCACTCCCAGAACCCTCACCCGGTCTCCTGGGCTTTCAAAGGAATGACTGGCAGAGCAGAGGCCCTGGGAGATGCAGAGCGGCACAGGCCTGTGTGTGTCACTCTCTCCTGCTGTCCCCCGAGGACAGGGTGCAAGGAGTGTGTGAGGGGGGAGGACTCAAGCCCCCTCCCCAGACAGCAAGGGATGAGGCCCACCTCCAGGGAGGAAGGAGGAAGGGAGGCAGCGTCCCCTCTAAACTGTCCTCAGTACCCCCACCCAGAAGGCTACCTGTGTCACCTCCCTGCCCCTACCCTAGAGCTTGCCGGGAAGGCCCGGCCATGCTCACACTCACCTTTCTCACTGAGTTGCCTGAGCAGGTGTCTGGTGGGCTCTGAGAAGGGAAGCGAATGGACAGTCAGTGCAGGCCTGGAAACAGCGGTGCCTGGCCCTGGTCCCATGCTCACGGCGCCACCGACACCACCAGCTCAAAGTTCCCTCCAGCTTGGCTGCCATTCAGCTCTGGGGCTCCGTACCTACCGCACAGGGAAGCAGGGCCCGGGCCACCCCCAGCCAGCACCAGGAGCAGCTCTGCCCACAATCGCTGCATTAGTGCACCTCGCCCAGGGCCCTCAGTTCCGGAGCCAGAGCCCCATGCTGCCTCCTAGGACCAACCGGCCACGTCGCTGGAGATGCCTGGCTCTACCTCAAGCCCCACCCTCCCTGCAAGAAGCACATCAGCGCATTAGCGACACCCGAGGCCCAGCCCCCTCGCAGCACCCCTGGCTGGAAAGCAGAGGTCGCACCCGACTTCCTACGGCCCTTAAGGCCTGGCTCCGTGAAGCCTCGCTGCCCGCTGGGGAGTGATGCCCGGCTGAACGGGGGCTGACCGGGCTCTGGGAACAAGATACAAAACACACCCATTAGGCTGATGGTGTCAGCACCGTGTACCCCAGCCTTTCTGGAGACAGACCTGAGACAGACAGGCAGGGACGGGAGGACATGTGTCGAGGGACCTCTCCACGCAGTCTTGACCTTAGCCCATACTGTTCTTGCCCCACTGGTGTTAACTGGGCAGCCCACTATAAACTTGGGGGACAGAAGGAAAATCTACCGAGGTCTCCGGGCTGTTCCCGAGCAGGGGAGCACGCTGAAGTTTTTTCCACTGAGGTGTGGGTGTGGGTACACAGACAACATAAGTAAACGTTAATCCGACTGTTTTTTTTAAGTGAGAAAAGTAGAATGCCCTACTCTTTCATCTTAAAGCTTGTAATCAAGAATATTTCGTAAGTGACAAGTAATGACAGCAGCACCTTCCGTATCCAGAGTGTACTTCTCTGCCCAGCTCAGCAGTCTGGAAGGAGGAGGCCCGGAGGCAAGAGAGTAGGTGGCTCCATGCGTCACGGCAGTGCTAGCACTGGGCCTGTGTCTCCCTCTCAGCAACTTCCTGCCCCTCCCCTCCTTTTTTTTTAAACACTTTTTTAAAAGTAATCTCTACACCCAGGGTGCCTGGATGGCTCAGTCAGTTAAGTGACCGACCCTTGATTTAGGAGTTCGAGCCCTGCGTCAGGCTCCGTGCTGACAGTGTGGAGCCTGCTTGGGATTCTCTCTCTGTCTCTCTCTCTCTCTCTCTGCCCCGTCACGCACGCTTTCTTTCTCCCCCTCAAAATAAATAAACTCAAAAAAATATATTATTTTAATAAAAAATAAAATACTCTCTACACCCAACATGGGGCTCAAACTCATGACCCCAAGATCAAGAGTCACATGCTCCACCGACTGAGACGGCTAGGGGCCCCTTGCCGGCCTGTCTTTACCCACACTTCTTACAAGTTCAGTCAGCTGATTTCAAACAACACACGTGGGGA